GATAATGGGCCAACACTCCTGGGCCAAATCATACATCGTCTTGGCTGTGGGTTAGGTGAGCCGAAGCAGCAGACTTGTGAGAGAGAGAGAGAGACGTCGCGGACGAAGCCCTGTTAAAGCGCGTCGATTTTCACGAGCCCCCTAAACAGAGCTATGTGCACGCACCCCTCAGCGGAGAAGATGCGTCTCGTAGAAGCCGCGCGCGCCTTGGCGGCGACGGCCCGGCCGCCAAGTGGATAATGGGCCAGCGCCCCTGGTCCAAGACATATAGTCCCGAAAACGCCCGACACAGAAAGTTCTCGAATTAGAAAGGATTGGCAGGGGCGGGCGGAGCCGAGCGATGGAGGGTTGCGAGAGCAAGGTCGGGATAATTGATCTGCGCATCCCGTACCTTATGCAACAGAGCGCGAGCTAATGCCTTGCACAGCTGCTGCGGGTAAGGCTGGGCTCTGCGTGTCACTGTCGACCCGTCGAGCTGGTGATGTCTACATCCAATGGCGCTGCAGAAACCTTGTTTACCCGTGCACCTACGATTCAGGTCTAGCAAGTCCGACCGTGGGATTCTCCCGCAGATGCAACGAGCCCGCTTTCTTGAGGGCGTCCCGAACTGGCAGACATCGTTCACAAGTGTATGCGCCCTGTTCATGGCCGCCACTGCTCTTACTCCTTGCGCTAGCCACATCGTGGAAGAGCTTGGGTTCTCAAGGATCCACGGTGCCTTCCTAGCGTGCATATATCTTATAAGGTTAAAGCAAGAAATCAGGCAGGCACTCCCTGTCCGTAGCCTTTCTGCGTCCTGCGGGCTGCACTCGGGCACTGCCCAGCGAAGGTCAGGAGTGCGAATGACTGCTGCGCGGTCTCTGGCCACTGGAAATGAGCGGCAGGGAGGCGCAAGCATCGCGGCAAGACGCTTGCCCGCACTGACATCTTGGCAGATGCAGCGGGGCACAGGCACAGGCTGACGGGTCAGGTCGCCCGATGGGCCATCTCGGACTTCCCAGGTCCGCGCGGGGATGCGCCGGCGCCGGCAGGCGCAGGCAACGCCGCCCTTGCCCGAGAAGAAACCGCCGACGTACTGGCCCTTCATCGGCGCACCGTGCCGCCAGCCCCGTGGCCTGCGCCCCGCGACGGCAGCTCCTCGGGGCACGCGCCAAGCGCCGCGCGCCGTCTCTGGGTAGCCAAGTACCGGCCGTGCCACGCCTTGCAAGCGGAGCTCCGCCGTCTTCTCGTGCCCGAAGATAGACTTGTGTTTCGCCCGCCGCCTCGCCTTCTGCAGCTCGTCGAGGGGGCGGAACTTCTGGGCCTGGTCGGTGCTGGAGACGCTGTGTCTAATCATGCAAAGCACTGCGGGCGCGCCAAGCTCGCTGCAGGTCACCTCGAACGGCTTCACTGGCTTGGGGCACGTGAACGTCCAGACCGTCTTCGCGCGACGAGCCCGCGCCCGCGTCTCCCAAGATGGTGCGCTTCAGTGTCGCCACGTGCCGTCCAGTATCCCGCTGCTGCCCGCCGTCCCCATCTTGGCGGTCACCTCCCTCGTCTGCGGGCAGGTGATCAGCGACCAGGGCCCCGCGGCGAGGGCCAGGCTCTCGGACTGCAACCTCATCAGCTCGCGCGGCCACGGGTAGGCTCCACCGTTGAGCAAGATCGCCGCGGCCATCGGCTTGCCCGCCCTCGCGCGGAGGTTGGCAGCCATCGCCTCCCCCACCGCCTGAGGGAGGGGGGGCCTCGAGCGACCAGGCGCGAGGCGGCGCCCCCCAATGGAAGCAGCGCCACACAGGCGGCCACCGCCGCTTGCCGGCCTTGCCCAAGGCCAGGGGGCGGCCCCCAGATGCCGCCAGCACCTTCTTCCAGTGCTCTGACTGCCGCCCACCGAGGAAGCTGTCGAGAACATCGCGAACCCGACGACCACGCCGTCGCCGTCCACGCCCGTTGGGTCGAGCTCCACGGCGAGGGGCTCGAAATCCTGGAGTTGGCTGGAGCAGCGGCGGTGCGCGCTGTCCGAAGTCGCCCTGGCCTCCAGCAAGCTGGTGCCCTCCTTCTCGACGTCCAGCGCTGCTCCCAGGTTCTTCGCCAGCTCCATTTTAGAACTCCGCGCCAATCCTCGCCGGGCTCGGGCTCGAACGAGGAGCTGCCGCCCGAGCTGGCTGGGGCCGCCTGCCGAGGCGACGGCCGCGGCCTCGCCCGCGCCCCTGGGGCGCCCGCCCGAGCCAGCGCCCCCGCGCTCCGCTCCTGCGCGGACGCTCTCCGAGGCAAGGCCCCCGACCCCAGTCCAGAGACGGGGCCTGCCCTCGCCGGCGCTTCAGGCCAGGTCCATCGAAAGAAATCAATCGAGCGAGGGCCCGGGTCGGTCGGTGGCTCGGGGCCGTCGGCGCGCGCGAGATCTGGCTTGAGCCATGCTGAGCACGGAGGGGCGGGGTGAGAGCAGCAGGCGCTCGGCACCCCCGGAAAATCGGGGTCGTTTCGACGCGAGGGTTCGTCCGCGAAGTAGATTTCACTCGGGATCCATCTGTAATAGAAAACTACGGCACGCGCCAGGCTGCAGGCCACAGACTGGCGGATATGAATGAGGAGGCGAAGCTCGCCTGACCGGGACCTCGCAAGGGCAAGCCGAATACTCATGTTGTCGCTCAGCTGCAGGGCCCCACAGTGACATCCAGGCGAATTCAAAGCAAAGCGCCGGACCCCCTGGCCCGAGGCTCGAGCCTCGAGGATCAGGATGTTCCCCGAATAATTCCAAGTGCCCCAAACGCGAGGGGTCCAGAGGCTCTTATCATGGAAGCCTCCTGGAACATCGAGAACATCGAGCACCGCCGCGAAGTCGTTGAGTTCGTCACCTGGACTTTCCCAGACGCCGGACCGAGGGCCCCTAACCAGGCCGGTTGCGTTGAGGGCCGACTCCCAGGCGCTGTGGCCCGCGAGCTGAAATCTGCTCCTCTCCAGAACGCGGCCGGCCGATGGAACTTGCGCTCGAGTCCAAAAGGAGGCGCGCACTCTGTGCCCATGCTCACTCGTATCACTCTGACTCGCGTGCTCACTCCAGCACCGTCCCCAGCCCTGGGCCAAGAAAACCACCGGCCCCTTGCGGGCCCGGATCCCACGTCGAACCGAGGGCCGCAAGACAGCGACATCGGCGTAGTGGTTGCGACAGAATCGAGAGCAGGTATAAAAAACGGGCAAAGAGGCCCCTCTGAACGAGACTCACAAAAGTGGCGTGACCAAGCCAACGCTCGAGGGCCCAACCAGAATATTTGACGTGACAAAGCATTTCCTCACTCGCGGCCCAGATCTCCCCAAATCGCTCGGGCGTCGTGGCCGCGCGGAGCCGGTGCCCGTCAAGCCTTCGTCCCAGGGCGCGGGTGTCCTCGCTCAGCACCTCGCCCCCGTGCAGCTCCAGCCCGTGCTCTGCGAAGCCCGCCTCCCAGTCGGGCGGCCTTCCCCGCGGCCTTCTCGCCCATCGAAAAGGCGCCGAGGTTGTCCATGCGCGCGCAGCGCCGGGGGCGATCCTCGGGGAGCACCAGGGGCGGCGACCGGTCGCGCAGGAGCTCCGAGCCGCGCCGGCTGGGCGCGGTCGCGGCTAGCCGCTCGTCGGCCTCCAGGGCGAAGTGCACCGACCAGGCGAAGCCCGTGCTCGTGGAGACCGAGGTGGGCCACGCTGCGTCGGTTGGCCTGAGCTGGGCGCCGTCCAGCTCCGCCAGCCCCAGCGCCCGCGCGGGCACCTATGGCCAGGCGAAGAAGGGCCTGGGCAGGACGGGAGCCTTGAGGCGGTGGAATCAATCCTTCACGTCCGCCATGCCCAGATGCAGCTTCAGGTTCTCTAGGCCCTCGCAGTCGCCGTCGCGAGCCTCGATGTTCGCGAAGGCTCCTGAGGTGCAGAGCCGAACGCCAGGGGGGGCGGAATCGGCAGTTGCTCCTCCTGGCGTCTATGATCAGCCGGAGGCGCGACTTGTTGCTCTTACAGACGAAGAAGATCCCGATCCTTTCCGGTGGCCTGAGCGCAACGTCGAGCGCGCCCAAGCGAAAACGTGATACGCCTTCATGTTCAACTGCAGCTTCCTATCGGTAAGCGGCGCGCTCCGTCGCGTCTCAAACTCTACCTCGTCAATCTCAGTCTCGGTTCGCAGCGCCAGCTCATGGGGGGGCCCGGGGCGTCGCGGGGCTAGGGCGCGAGGTCGGCGGTGAAGGCCGCGAGGTTCGCGGAGCCAGTCTCCAGTTCGTACGGGGGCCGACCGCGCAAGAAGTCCCGCGGGCCCCCCCGCCCCGAGAGCGCCTTACGCATGGGCTCCCAGTCCTTGACCAGGCCCTCCACGCGGGCCATCGCCTCGGGCGCCCAAATACCTGGCGTCGCCGACCCGGGGGCGCAGTCCCAGGTGTCGTGGCCGGCTAGCACGTTCAGTCCGTTGACCGCCTCCTGCGCCATCTTCAATTGCGCCGCCTAGCCTGGCCCCGCGCCTTCTTTGTCGAGCGAATCGAAGTGGCAGGGCCAGCCGTCGACGCAGGAGCAGGCGGGGGGAAGAAGTCCTTCGTCGGCCGCCCGCCTTGGGGAGGGCCCCATTGCCCGCCGAGGGCGGGGCGAAACTCCTCGGCGGCGCTGCTGCTCATGGCGGGGGGGCGGCAGCGGGCGCGAGTCCACGCCGGCCTCGGCCGCCGCCTCTGCGTCCACCGCCGCCGCGACCTCCTCCGCGTCCGTCTGGGCCCCCGCTGCCCGCGCTGGCGCCGTCGGCCCCGCTGCCCTCCGCGGCGGTCGCGGGGTTGCCGCCGTGAGGCCCTCGAGCGCCGTCGACCTGGCCGAAGGCCCCGATGACGTCGGCGCGGCCCCTGGCCCGAGCCACGCACGACTGGGGAGGGCTGACCAGGTTGCCGGGCGCGCCCGCGCCCATGCACAGCTTCGCGTGCTTCCACGGGACCACCCGCGGGCCCGCGCAGGCGCAAATGATGGTCTGGACTCAGTGGCTGAGCGTCCCCAGCCAGGCGCGGGCGTCAGCGTTCAACTGGTCGTCCACTTTCCCGAAGTAGAAGGAGACGCACAGGATCTTCAACTCGTGGTACTCCATCTTGCGTTCCTTCCGCCCCCTGAGGATTCACCGGCGAAGGGGGCCCCCAGGCCGGTCGAAGTGCTTGGCTAAGACTGCCTGGGCCCTCCACGGGCGCGTCATCGAAGGCCTACCGCATGCTCTTCCGAATCACGCCCCGCCGCGACTCGAAAATATCCGCGTGGTTGCCATAGCCGACCCACATGGTGCGGGTGTCCGCGGCGGGGTCGCCGCCCTTCTGGACGACCGTCTCGTCGGTCTCCAGGCCCAGCGTCTCCCGTCGCGGCCCGCCCGAAGGGCCCAGTCGCCCGCGCTCGGCCCGGGTCGCCGCGGCCCCCAAGGCTCCGGCGGCAAGAGCGGTCGTCGGCGGGGTGGCGGTGCCGCCTACGGCGTCACCTGCGCCCGCCCCCCAGCGCCGCAGCTCGCTCCTGACGATGCCCAGGACACTGTCGGGCCCCTGCCACCAGCAGTGGACGCCGTCGGTGCCGTTCAGCGGGAGTAGGTCGTCGGGCCCAGCTCGCAAGGAACGCTGACCACAACTGCCGACCTCGTCGCCCAGCGAGAGGTCGTCGCCATAGCCCATGGCGAACCCGCGGCGGCAGGCCGGGATGATGGCGGCGTCGGGCGCGACCGACACGGCCTCAACATACACATCGAGGTCGGGGGTGAAGACATACCAACGATCCTCGCCCGCCGACCAGGGGCGCAGATCAAGCCGTTCGTGGTCAACACCGTCGACCCGGCATCGCGCACCGATCGTCCGCTGGGCCCCCAAGCCACCCCACCACGCACAGCCAGTCTTGAACACCAGCGGGGACATCCCGAGGCGGTCGAGCTCCGTCGGCCGAGCGCCTCGGCGCCGCTTCGCGGCCCGCCCCATGCACCCAGCGCGCCGACGCCAGAGTCCGCCTCGCCCGCGGGCGCGCGCCCACCTGCCTCGGCGCGCCCGTGTCGGCCGCCGGAAGCCCCGAGCAGCTCGGGCAAGCTGGCCGGGCAGGCACTCCGGGGCGGCCGGGGCAGCCCCGCCCAGGCAGCGCCGGGCAGGCCGGGCCAGGCGAGGCCGCCGCCGCGACTGGCGCGCCGAGGGGCCGTCGCCCCTGGTCAGTTCCAGTTCCAGGAGGCCGCCCGCCGCGCCGCGCCAGCGCCGCCAGAGATGGGCGGGCCAGCCGCACTCCAGGCGCGCTCGCGGGCCCGGGGAGAGCGGGCGGCCTCCGCGTCCCGAGGCAGCAGGCTTGGCAGAGGAAGGTTGCGGACGAAACCATTTAAGCGCGTCGATGTTCACGAGTTCCCTAGGTATAGCTATGTGCACGCACCCGTCTGTGTATGTATGTATGTACGTGTGTATATGTAAGTACGTATGTACGTATGTACGTATGTACGTATGTACGTATGTATGTATGTATGTATGTATGTATGTATGTATGTATGTATGTATGTTTATTTGCTTGTTTTTGGTGTATATATATGTATATATATAGATATATAATTTCGCCTCACATGCAGACGGGGTTGGATACGTCTCGGGGTACTGTTGTGCATGAAGGCCCGATGATGGAACATTGCCAGCTTCCCAGCTTATGGTAAGGGGGCTCCAACATGCTAGAACAGGCCGACAAGGAAGAGCAGGGCGGGGGGGAGAGCGAAACATAGACAGAGAGAGGGAGAGAGAGAGAGAGAGAGGGAGAGAGACAAAAAAACACATGCGATAGAGAAAGAGAGAGAGAGAGAGAGAGAAATAGAAAACAACATGAAGACCGAGGCACGAGACGCCTAAAAACGTTAAACAACACATGCGGGATCGGCAGCCGCACACCTGCTCTTTCTTCGGGGGTCGGCGGCAGGGCGTAGTCCCCTTCAAGAATTTCGACAGCTCTGGGGCGCGGGAGGGTCGGGGACGGCGCTGTGAGGGGAGGGAGGGGCGATGAGAGATGGACGTTGGAGGGTGGACGTTGGAGGGATGGGGAACGAGCGGGAAAGGGAAGGGGGAGAAAGGGAGGAGGTGAGGGATGGAAGGGAGGGGAGAGAGGAGAGGGTAACTGAAGGGAGAGAGGGAATATGGAGGAAGAGGGGTTTCAGGGACAGGGATAGAAAGGGAGGAGAGGAGGCAGGGAGGGATGTGAGGGAGAGCAGGAGTCTGCCACGTAACCATCATCACAGAACCACGCATACGTACAATGTAATGTAGCAGAGGTGTCAAACACAACTAACCAGTCTGGGGGTAGGCTTGCAGAGTTCTGACGCCATCCCACAGCCTCATCCTCCGCCCTCCTTACCTCCCTCCCTCCAATGCTCTGTCTCCTCCTCCTTCCTCCTCCTCCTTTTCCTCCTCCAGCTCCCCCTTCTCCTTCTTTTCTTGTGCAGTCGCGTGCAGGTTACAATGTGGTTCCCTGCATGCTTACTCTCCCATCAATGTGGTTTCAATGCGGTTTCAATGTGGCTTCAATGTCGATTCCAGAAATCCTCCTCCTCATCCTCCCGCTCCTCCCCCTCCCCCTGTTCTTCCTCCTCCTCCTCCTCCTCCTCATCCCTTTGTTCTTCTCCCTCTCCCTACCGCGCCGGCGCGTGTCCCTGGACCAACGTAGCCCTGCTCTCGGCGTAGGCTCTCCGCCTCCTCGTCCACCTGGCGACAAGCGCCGGCGGAGGCCGTCAGTCGACGAATCTAAGAATCCTCGCCGTCATCTTCGTCGTCGTCCTCCTCCTCATCCTCCTCCTCTGCCTTCTCGTCTCCCTCCTCCACCTTCACGCCCTGCTCTTCGACCTGCTGCTCCTGCTCCTCCTCCTCCTCCTCCTCCTCCTCCTCCTCCTCCTCCTCCTCCCCTCGTCCGCGGCTTCCTTCTCCTTCTCATCCACGCCCTCATCTTCGACCTCTTACTCCTCCTCATCGAAGTCCATGGGGGCCTTGCCATGGATAACCACCACAGCTTCACTCGTCACGAACGGCTGGAGTCGGCTCGAGATCTACATTCTGAATGTGCCAATGTGAAACACTGAGCTTGTGCGTTTGATCTTGCAGGGCAAGTGCGCTAAGGCGCCTGGGAGCGACGATGTCACTCCAGAACTGATGGCATTGGACCCCCACCTCCAGGCCGCCTTCCTCCGCCCACTCCTGCTTGATTTTCAATTGCTGGCTCGGGAGCCTCGTGGGATCACGGGTGGCTTAACTGCAGAAATTCAAACATCAGGTAACACAGCGTGACTCACGTCGAGGCGGCAGGCACTCTTGGGCAGTGCTATCAGCTAGCTTCATTCCTCAAGGGACGACTTTATGGTTATTCGCAGTAGATGCGGAAGCCTATCCAACAAGGAAGTCGTCCAAAGCATGGAACCGATGTTGAGTCACTTACGCTGTGTTCGTTCCTCTAGCTCTGTAGGAAGAAGGTTGCATTAGTAAGAATCGGCCACTTCACACAAACACAGATGCATGCATACATGCATATACTTATGCATACACACATACATACATTCATACATGCATACATGCACACACACATACAGACATACATACATGCATACACACATACATACATACATACATACATGCATGCATACATACATGCATGCACACCCATACATACATTCATATATACATACATACATACATACATACATACATACATACATACATACATACATACACACATACACACATACATGCATACATGCATACATGCATGCATGCATACATACATACACATACATACATACATATATACATACATGCGTACATACATACGTATACACATACATCCATACATACATACATACATACATGCATACATGCATACATACATTCATACATGCGTGTATGCATGCATTCATGCATACATACATACATACACACATACACACAAACATGCAAACATACATACATGCATGTATGCATACATACATACATGCATACATGCATACATGCATACACAATCATACATACACACATACATACATACCTGCCTACCTACATACATACATACATATATACATACATACACACATACATACATGCAAACATACATGCATCCATCCATACATGCATATATCCATACATGCATACATACATGCATCCATCCATACATACATACACATATCCATACATACATACATACATACATACATACATACATACATACAAATATGTATAGATCCAGCGTTTGCAAAGTGGTTCAGAGGCTACTCGCAGCCCATGCCCAGACTCAGGAAGACTGCGAAACTATCATCAACGAGATGGGAGCCCCACGCCCCACCAGAGTTCAAGGAGCTGGCCCGAATGATTGTCCAGTCGCCTGGTTCGCTGAGTTAGCTCGAAACGTCTCACCTCCATGTTCTCTGGAGGAGGAGGAGGTGGTGGTATATAGAAACAAATACAGAGCGAAAGAGGGAGGAGGAGGAGGAAGAGGAAGATGATGAGGAGGAGGAGGAGCTCTTCGGTCGGGACTTCGTCACATAGGAGGAGGAGGAGGAGGAGGAGGAGGAGGAGGAGGAGGAGGAGGAGGAGGAGGAGGAGGAGGAGGAGGAGGAGAGAGAGGGAGAGAGACGGGAGAGGAGGGGGAGAAAGGCGCGCGAGAGCAAGACATCCCGTCCCTCCCCCCTCCTCCTTGCCTGCGACCTGGCGCCTGGACTGGAGGGCCCTTGCTCTGGTGATCGGAGCGCAGAGGCTGCCCTCGCCCGCAGCGACGTGCATCTTGCGGCTACGCAGGGAGGCCAGATCCAAGCGCGCAGGCCATTGCTGGGGGGCCCCTGTCAGCCTGCACCGAAGGTCGCTCCAGCGAAGGGTCATTCCTACGTGAAGCCGAACCTCTGGGGAAACCAGAAGAGGCACCGATACCACTACTCCCCGGACCTCTCCTCGGGTGCAGTCCGACCAGGGTTTCGCGTCGAATCCAGCGGTGGCGACGAGGGCCTCCCAGGATGCCCCCCGAAGGGGAACGCGAGGCAAGGGTCGTGGGGGCAAGGGTCGTGGGTCGTGGGTGGCAAGGGTCGTGGGTGGCTGAACTCTGACGCGTAGCCAGCTCCTGCCACCGTGTCCGAGGCAAGGGCCGGCCACCCGCTGGAGGCCGTGCCGTCCCACACAGTGTCCTCTCGGGAGCCCTGCCGCAGGGGGGGGCGGCGCAGGGGCGGCGCAGGGCGGGGGGGGGGCTCCTTCTTCAGCTCCTCCAGTAGTCTCCGCTCCTCGCCAGGCCGCGCGCGGAGGGGGGATGCGACAGGCTCGCGGCGTGCCGACCCCGGCGCTGGCTTCTGACACTGCGGGGAGCGCTCAGCCTGGAACGATCGAGGGCTTCGGGAACGCCAGGCCGCTCAGCATCGGCCAGTTCTGGGTCGCCAGCGGCGGGGGGAGCGGGTCCTGAGGGAGACCGGTCCCGGACCCGGGGGCCTTCCCCCAGGACGAGTTTTTCCTGAGTCGTCTCCTGGCAGCCCTGGGGCTGGTGGATGGCCCCGAGAGCCCGAAAACGGTGGAAACTTCAGGGCCCGTTTCCCTCGGGACCCGTTTCCCCTATATGGCGATGCTTCTGGGTAGCTAGCGGCGTTCAACGTTGAACGCTGGCGGCGGGGTGGCCGGGTGGCCGCCCGTCGACACGGCGCGAGCCCACCGCACAGGAGGGGCGAGACGAGACGAGAGGCGCGTACAGAGTCGTGCACGATCCGCTGGAAAGGGAGGAGGAGGGGAAGGAGGGGGAGGAGGGGGAGGAGGAGGAGGAGGAAGAGGAGAGGAGGAGGAGGAGGAAGAGGAGGAGGAGGAGGAGGAGGAGGAGGAGGAGGAGGAGGAGGAGGGGGGGGAGGGGGGGGGGGAGGGGGAGGAGAGGAAGAGGAGGGGAAGGGGGAGGACGGCGGAGGAGGAGGATGAAGAGGGGGAGGAAGGGGGATGAGGGGAGGCAGGGCTGGGCCGGTGGGGGGGGAGGAGAGAGGGGAGACGAGCAGGTGGCCTTCCTGCTCTCTGGCACTACTCTTGCCGCTGGTGGTGGAGGTGGGTCTCCGATACGACGCAGGTACAGGGAAGGGCTGTCCATCACTCCACCGCTTCGTCGAGCGCCTCTCTGGCCAAGCTGGCTGGGCCCGCGCGCGCGGGCGCGGCGGACGCCACGGGCGCCTCGCCCGCTCGGCGGCCGGCCTGAGAGGCAGAAGAGCTGGGCGGAGAGGAGTGGAGGGCGAGCTGGGAGCGCTCGCGCCACCCGAGTCGTCCTACCTTGGGTACGTCTGGGGGTCTGCTAGGCCGATTATTGCATAACGCCCGACGGAAGGGCCCACAAGGCGTGCATTACACTAGCCGCCGCAACTTCTACTTGATGCGCGCCTTTGGGGCCTATGCAAGGCAGACCCCCCAGACGAACCCAAATCCTACCCCTCCTCCCATCCCTTCCAATTGCGCTGACCTATCTCGATCCGCCAACGGGTGTCATAGCGGACCTGGAACACTCGAGAGGTCCCCACCGTGTTGCGCGCAACTTGAAAAGGGGAGATGTGCACACTGGAGACAGGGAGAAGGTGGTGGATGAGCAGGAGGTGGAACTGCAGCAACGGAAGCAGGGGAAGCGGGAGGAGCAGGAAGACCACGGGAAGGTGGATGGGGGGAACGGAAGGAAGGGGGCGACGACGACGAGGAAGCACTCCGACCCAGAAATGTGGCCCGCGCTGGGGCGAGAGCGCCATTCTGACCGGCGGGAGCACAGCGGCGATCCTGAACTGAGGCCAGGGCTGCAGCGGGGGCCCATCTGAAAAGACCTGAGACGTTCGGGTTGGAATTCTGCTCTCGGACTTCCCCACACAAGGAAGCCAAGGGCTTCGCGGGATCAACACGGTGCAGAATAGTCGCAATCCGAATGGAAACTCGCAGCAAGAGTACGCACGCACGGAAGGGCAGACGAAAGCAAGTGGGGGAAGCGGCAGGGAAGGAAAGGGCAGCTGTCCAGGAGACACTTCCGTCCCTCTTCGATTCTCACCCTTCAGTGTTGTTGGTTCAGGGGGGCAATGCTCTTGTACACGTCGTTCATTTCTAATCGCGCTCATTTTTTAAAAATTGTGCTCGTTTCTAATTGTTCCTGGCCCCATAGTGGCCAGGAAGAGGCCCAGGATAGAACAATTAGGAATGAAAGGATCCTGCCCCCCCAAAAGATCAAAGCATTTTCGAAGAATTAGAAATGAGCTATGTGTAAGTGTTTTCACTTGGGAGGGCTGTCCCTCCCCCCACGCCATCTCCGGGCTCTTCCCAGGAGGCGTGGGAGGGGCACAGCACCTTGTGACCAGTATGGTACTCGAGTGCCCTGCCCCCTACTGCCCGCTCTGGAGGGCCCCCCCCCTTGGAGGGGTGGGAAGGGGCACACCACCCTGATCTCTTACGCACCTCTCCGACGGTTCCGTTTGCGGTTTGTTGGGCCGTTTCGCCAGGGGCATCGTCGACATTATGAAGACCGGTCGCGCCCCTCACGCAGATCGCGACGTCACGGTCCAACAGCACAAGGAATGTTCAACCGTTCACTTGACACCTTCAAGAGCAGAGTGGGTTTCAATGATTTTGTACGTCGTCCCGAGAAAAAATCGTCTCGCGTGAGTCATCCCCCCCAACATTGAAACCCGCCGTGTTCAAAGTTGTCCTCATCCGCCACCGTGCCTGCAAGGAGTGGGCGTGTTAGAATGTTCGTCTGTTGCCTGAAGGTTTGTTGTTCTAACTTTTCTAGCCCCCCTCCTCCCTTGCACGGCAAACATCCCTTGAACATCGCCCCCTCTGACATTGGTTTCTGGCGGTCTTTTCTGCCTCCAGACGGCCAGATGGCTTTCGAGACGGGATCCAAAACAGCCAGGACGACAACAACATAGCTCAAGATGGCCCAATATAGCTCAAGAGCCTCTCAAGAGAGCCTCAAGACGGCTCAAGACAATTTAAGAGGGCCTCAAGACGGCCCAAGAGGCCCCCAAGACTGCCCGAGAGAGCTCCAAGAGGCCCTCCTGGAGAGATCCAGCGAGGAAATCATTGATGTGTTCTTGGTTCTGACGGTTTTTGAGGTTTTCGCATGTTCGGGCTTCCGACCACCGAAGAAGGCCCAAGCGGCTTCCAATAGGCCTCCAAGTTAGCTAAACGGCAGCCCAAGAGGCCCCCAAGAGGGCCCCAAGTCGGCCCAAGATGACCCAAACATCGCCCAATGCCCCCCCCCATCCAAAAGAGGGCCCCAAGGCGGCCTTGAAGCGCCATAAGAAAGCACCACGACGGCCCAACGAGGCCTCTTGGGCTGTGTTGGGCGGTCGGAGGCTCAAACATGCCAGAACCTCAAACATCCTTCGAACACCGAATGGCAATCACTGGTTTTGGCATCCTCGGGCTCTCCTGGAGAGCCTCTCGGGGACCTCTTGGGCCGTCTTAGGAGCCTCTTGATCTGTCGTGAGGCCTTCTTGGGAGCCTCATGGCCTCCAGGACGGCTTTTAAGACAGCCAGGATGACGCCAAGATAACTTCAAACGGTTTAAACGGCTCCCAAGACAGCCTCAAGACAGAGCAAGATGCCCCCACGGCGGCCCAAGAGGTCTCCGAGAGGCCCTCCTGGAGAGCCCGAGGAGGCCAAACCCATTCATTGGCCCTAGGTTTTGAACACAAATTAAGGTTCTCACCTATTCGGGCTTTCAGACCGCCCAAGGCGGCCCAAGAAGCCTCCACGAGCCCCCCCCCCCCTAGATAGCTCGAAGACAACCCGAAAGGCCCCAAAGAGGGCCAAAAATAGGCCCAAGGCGACCCAGAGATTACCCAATGGGCTCCAAGAGGGCCCCAAGACGATAGTGAACCGCTCCAAAGGGGCATCACCGCGGCCTAGAGAGGCCCCCAATGCTGCCGCAATGGGCGCCACGGCCCAAGAGGCCCCAAGAGGCCCCCGAGAGGGCTCAGGAGGCCCCCAAGAAGCTTTCAGGACGCTCCCAAGGCCCCCCAAGAACGACCTAAAAAGGCCTCAAGAAGCCTTCGCCTCCTCATTCTCATGTTCTCCATCCTCTCCTCCTCCTCCTCCTGCTCCTTCTCCTCCTCCCTACCGCGCGGACGAAGACGAAGTCGGGATCATGACCCGCCCCAATGCAAACTACTCGTAGGAATTGCTGTGGTTGTGCACCCAACCTCATTCATGCTGCGCTGTTGCACAGACATGGTGGCGGGGTTGACCGCAGACAGCTGGATATCATTCAAAACTACAGTTTCGCTCGAGATGTCCTCCAATCATTGGCTTCGGAGCTTCGTTTCGCTGCAATCGCAAGGTGTGGAACGCCCTCCTGCGCCACACACACACACACACACACACACACACACACACACACACACACACACACACACACACACACACACACACACACACACACACACACACACACACACACACACACACACACACACACACACACACACACACACACACACACACACACACACACACACACACACACACACACACACACACACACACACACACACACACACACACACACACACACACACACACACACACACACACACACACACACACACACACACACACACACACACACACACACACACACACACACACACACACACACACACACACACACCACACACACACACACACACACACACACACACACACACACACACACACACACACACACACACACACACACACACACACACACACACACACACACACACACACACACACACACACACACACACACACACACACACACACACACACACACACACACACACACACACACACACACACACACACACACACACACACACACACACACACACACACACACACACACACACACACACACACACACACACACACACACACACACACACACACACACACACACACACACAACACACACACACACACACACACACACACACACACACACACACACACACACACACACACACACACACACACACACACACACACACACACACACACACACACACACACACACACACACACACACACACACACACACACACACACACACACACACACACACACACACACACACACACACACACACACACACACACACACACACACACACACACACACACACACACACACACACACACACACACACACACACACACACACACACACACACACACACACACACACACACACACACACACACACACACACACACACACACACACTTACACAATTGCACACA